GCAATTAATTAACATAAAAAATTATAAAAGTTTATATTTATTTTAACACCATTGACACATGAATGATTTTAGTTGATTAATTGATTAATTTAAAATCAACACTTACATTTTTCATACAAATTAATTGTAGTGCATTAATTACACATCTTAACTTATGCTCTAATTTACATAAAAAATTATAAAAGTTAACATTTATTTTAATACCATTAACAAGTAAGTGATTTTAATTGATTTTAATTGGTTAATTAATTAATTTAAAGTCAACAATTACATTTTTCATACAAATTAATTGTAGTGCATTAATTACACATCTTAACTTAATATTACAAGAACATATGTTAGAAAAACCAGACTTAGATTTTGAAGCAGAGTAAGAGAAATAAACAATGGATTTTTCTAAGTTATGCCATTAGGGTATATATTAATGGTGTAAAAAATACATTTTTTTACCATAAATTTTTATTAAAAAAAGTTTACCTTTAATTTATTAATTATCTAATTAAATTCATTTATTTAACACCAACACTAAAATTAATATTAAATTTTACATTTTTAAATATATTTATGGCAAAAATTTGAGATACATGTTAGAAAAATCTATATACAATTTCGAACATTAATTAATTTTAAACTTTAGTGGGGAATACGAGACAAGAAGGCAAACAAGGAAATGGAGGGTTATTAAAAAAAAAAAAGGAGTTTATTCTAATAGTTGAAATAAATTATGGCTTTTTAGTCTTAAATACTAAAAGGGCTGGAAGACTCATAAGATACTACTTTAATTACACTTCGTTACTCAATTTAATACTCTGTTACTCAATTTAGTACTTACGAAGTCGTACCCCAAACAATAGGTTAGAAAATTCTTCTTTGATTTGTTTAGGACACAGAAGATGAAATAAAATCAACAATACCATAATGCTTTCCGATGATCATGAATGCTTTAATAGAATAGTGATAAAGGAAAAACTAAAATCTAAGATGAAAATTTAAAATTAATAATATGATATAAATTATGTTATTTAAAATATTAAAAGATAAATTTTATATTATTTAATAATTTATTTTTTATTAATTTTATTAAAACTTATAATATTATATATATCAAATAATGTAACTTATTGCTCGTTATTACTCTCCAATTTTCATCCACCATCTCATTAGTCACTTTAATATGGTTTTCATAAGCGCAAGTGGTCCAAATTCATCCATTATTGGTTTTGTCACCAACCACACCAATTTCATCAAACATCAATGGCTATTTTTCCTTTAACGCTTGGGTTTTGAAGGCTTTTAGAAGAAAGGCAAATGGGATCTTTAGCACTCTTTCTGATCTTATTTTTCTCTGTTTTTCTCATAACTCTCATTTCTGCTGCGGATATGATCTACTTCAAGTCTTATTGTTTTGACAATGGCAACTTCAACGCCAACAGCACTTACGGGACCAACCTCAACCTTCTGTTTTCTCAGCTATCCACCACGGCGGATTTCAATTATGGGTTCTACAATCTGTCCGTCGGTCGGAGCCCTGACCGGGTCAACGCAATCGGACTTTGCAGGGGAGACCAAAAAGAGGACGTTTGCAGAAGTTGCCTGAACGACACCATCTCCAAACTCAAGCAGCAATGTCCCAAATACAAAGAGGCAATCGGATGGTCGGAATTCTGTACGTTACACTACTCAAGTCAACAACTCTTTGGATCCATGGAAGCCGAACCTGAAAGTATTTCGTATAATATTACCAACGCATCGGATGGTGATGGGTTTAATCGGGAGTTGAAACCCTTGTTGACTAACTTGAGCAGCCGTGCGGCTGCCGGAGGACCTCTTTTCAAATATGCGGCAGATAACACGACCGGTCCGAGTTTCCCTTCGGCAATTTACGCTCTCGTGCAGTGCACTTCCGATCTATCGCAGAGGGATTGCAGCTATTGTCTAACACTAGCAATGGGAAAGATCGATGTCTGCTATGGGAAGATCGGATGCAAAGTTCTACAACCCAGCTGTAATTTGAGATATGAGACCAGACCATTTTTTGCAGCAGTAGAAGTCATTCCTCAGCTGCCGGTGTCTTTACCTTCTCCACCGGAAGGTAAAGTGTGCTTCTTTTCTTTTCGGGTAATTGTACCATTAGATAATTAGATTATAAATAATTCAAGCTGTTGGTGGAAACTTTTGGGTTGTACAGGAAATGGAAATGGAAATAGGAGCAACAAAACTCGAACAATCATCATTGTGATCGTAGCTTCGGTTGTCAGCATTCTGTCACTTGTCCTCTGTATTTGGATCTGTTTAAAATTCAGAAAGCAAAGGGAAATTGTCGCAAGTAAGTAATACTAGTATTTTAGGAATGCACTCCTCCTACTGGAGAATGCTTATATTCTTACTCCCATTCCATGTATTTCTTTTGGCAGCTGCAGAAGGAGATGAAATGATCGAGGCCGAGTCTTTGCAATACGACTTAGCCACTATTCGGGCTGCAACTAATAACTTCTGTGATGAAAATAAACTTGGACAAGGAGGATTCGGAGCAGTTTACAAGGTAATGATGTTATGAATCAGAAGAGAACATTAGTTGTAGTACACCTCGGTGTATTGAATTAGCTTGAAATTTGGTATTCATTGAACTTAAATTTAGTTAGTACCACCCTGTTTTATACATAGGGCAAGCTTCCAAAAGGACAAGAAGTAGCCGTGAAAAGGTTATCTGGTGCTTCTGGACAAGGAGACTTAGAATTCAAAAATGAGGTCCTTTTAGTAGCCAAACTTCAACATCGGAATTTGGTTAGACTCCTTGGTTTCTGCTCGGAAGGAGATGAAAGGCTTCTCATGTACGAGTTTGTGCCAAACACAAGCCTTAATCATTTCATTTTTGGTATGTCCATGCCTTTTAGATTTTGCTTTTGATTCAGATTTCAATTCTATTAATAAATATTATATTTGAGTTTGCATGTTTGCAGGGGTTACACATTTATGCTCTAGTCATCTTCAAAGCCCTCTACCCCTTTAAATTCATTTCCTAGTTATTAATTAGAGACATACTCTCATATGAACTATATATGAACATGTAGATCCAATCAAGCGTGCACAACTAGATTGGGAAATCTGTTACAAAATCATCAAAGGCGTAGCTCGTGGCCTCCTTTACCTACATCAGGATTCTCGTCTTCGAATAATTCATCGCGATCTCAAAGCAAGTAATGTTTTATTAGATGAAGACATGAATCCTAAAATTGCAGATTTTGGAATGGCAAGATTAACTGTAAGAGATGAAACACAAGGCAAAACCAGTAGAATTGTGGGAACTTAGTAAGTATTAAAAAGAGTGATACTTTGAATTGTTTCTTATACAAATAAATGTCCAAATAGCTCTGTTCCTTATTGCCAACATGAAAGTACCAAAAATAGCCTTCTCATGTATTCCACTAAGAAAATATTAGAAAATGAGTTTATCATTTTTTATCTTGAAAATGATCCCATTGCTATTGATATACTTGCAGTGGGTACATGGCTCCAGAATATGCAATGCATGGACAATTCTCAATAAAATCAGATACTTTCAGTTTTGGAGTGTTACTTTTAGAAATCATTAGTGGACAAAAAAATAGTTGTTTCCAAAATGGGGAGAACATAGAGGACCTACTAAGTTATGTACGTATGACAATCTATACTTATTTTATGTTTCTTTCTTGTCTTGTGATAAATAAAAGTTCAAGTCTTAGCTGGTTCTCACTTTGCTGCCTCATGTGTGTGTGCTTTTATAACCTTTTGTAGGCATGGAAAAACTGGAAGGAAGGGACAGGATTAAATCTCCTAGATCGAACTTTGAGATATGGTTCAACGGCTGAAATGATGAGATGCATCCATATTGGTTTGCTATGTGTTCAAGAAAATGTTGCTCACAGACCAAACATGGCTTCAGTTGTTCTCATGCTCAGTGGCAATTTAATTAATCTCCCAATGCCCTCTAAACCTGCATTTTTTGTGCACAGCACCATTGCATCAAACATGCCATCCTCGTTTGGCTACAATCCATGGGAACAAAACTCAAAGAGATCTGAGGAACAATCAGTCTCCTTGTCAAATATTGATGTTTCAATCACAGAGCTATATCCTCGATAGTTTTTGAGATTCAAAGGTACAATTAGATTCATATTGTCAACCCGGTTCAAAATAATGCTAGAATTCACTTACTAGATGTACTGGTATCTAGTACCTGTTCTTGTAAGGAAAACTACTTCCAAGCACAAAAATACAGTGTATGATTTGATTCGTTTTTTTTTATCTTGAAAATGATCCCATTGTCATTGATATACTTGTAGTGGGTACATGGCTCCAAATTATGCAATGCATGGGCAGTTCTCAATAATGTCAGATCTCTTCAGTTTTGACATGTTACTTTTAGAAATCATCAGTGGACAGAAAAATAATTATTTCCGAATTGGGGAAAACATAGAGGACCTACTAAGTTATGTAAGTATAACAATCTATACTTATTTTATGTTTCTTTCTTGTCTTTTGACAAATAAAAGTTCAAATCTTCGCGGGTTCTCACTTTGATGCCCTCTCAACCTGCATTTTTTGTGCACAACACCATTGCATCAGACACGTCGTCCTCATTTGGCTATAATTCATGGGTATCAGACAGGAACAGATCAGAGGAACAATCTGTCCCCTTGTCAAATAATGATTTCAATCACAGAGCAATATCCTCTATAGTTTTTGAGATTCAAAGCTACAATTAGATTCATATTATCAAGCTGGTTCAAAATAATGTTAGAATTTGCTTATTAGATGTACTAGTATCTAATTAATGTTAGTTCTTGTGAACAAAACTACTTCCAACACAGTAAATAAGTAATTTATTCAACATGAAATTCAAGTCATGCAAAGAGGCACGCACAATATTTTGCTTTTCTCTTTCAGATAGGAGATAAATCCAATCTCTCTTACTGTTTCTCCATTTCTGTTACCAAGCCCAAATTGAAGTTTCTTTCAAGAAGATGACTAAAAGTCCTAGCGAATGCAAGTAAAAATGCATTTGCAAAATAAAAATCCAATATGAATGATACTTCTTCTATTTCAAATAATTCAAAGCTTTTATATTCATGAGCTTGTAGTTACATCTTCTAGGTTGTCCAAAATACATAAATCCTTATTTCGGCTGCAGCATTTGGTGGACATATTTGGTGGATACATGGCTCCAGAGTTTTAAAAGTGAATTTTTCAATCAGTTAAGTCTTATGTTTATAGCTTTGGTGTGGTAGCTCTTGAGATCATCAGTGGCTAAAAATCCATCTAAAAACATCTACCTCAGTAATAAAGAAGAATTAACCATTGCAAATTAACTAATCAAAAGGAACTCTCTCTTCTTTTATTGTTGGGTCAAAAATTGATGAAAAGCATTGGTCCGTTTCACATCTTTCTTTTTCTTTTTTTCTTTTTTTTTGGCGGTCCACTACCCAAAAGAGAGAAACAGAACTAGCTAAATTAAAAAAAAAAAAAAAAAAGTCGCCTGGTTATTCCCAGAATCCGGTGGAGCGCCGGAATCTGGAGGCGGAATTCAGGCCTAGCTCTGCAGTTCCCGGCGATTTCACAAAAATTCAAGCGGAGTTCCAGAAAAGTTCTAAAACTAGGAAAACAGATACTAGGCGTAAACCAAGTTAAACAGAGTTTGTTTGTACAATAATTTCAACGATTTCAAACTTCAATTCCAGGAAAATTCAACCACAACAGTCATCAAACAAAAATTTCAGAATAAATGTACACAAATCTAGGAGCCAAAATCAGATTCTCATTCAATATTTAAGCATGATATACAGGAAATGAATCAAGAACAAAATACCTAAGTTCGGCAACACCTAAGTTCGGCAACACTTCTAGATTCCAGAAACAAACTCGAATTTCCTTTTTTGCCTTTGATTCCTCAAGCCCGAAAGTCTCAGTACTCTCTGATTTTTTTCTCGCACTCGTTCTGCCTCTCTTCAGTTTTTGTCCTCCCTTTTTCTTTCTTCTCTTCCTTTTCTCTGCTTTTTCCTTTTTCTTTCTTTTTTTTTTTCTTTTCGTTCCCCTCTTTCACCCGAAAAGCTCTCCCCCTTTTATAGGCAAAATTGGAGCCATCCGATTGCCTTCCTTAAATCCCGACCGTTCCTAGTCCTGGAATTGCCGCCCACCTAGCCTTAGAGTTGCCACCCACCTAAAGCCCTAGATTCCTTCAACTTGCTTCAGATCCATGACTTGAGGGGATGAATGGCTTGGTGACAAGGCTTCCACGTAGATCCCTTCACATGGGATGAAGGAGGAAGGGACCGATTTGGAGAGGAAGGGGGAGGAATCCATCCCGCAAGTGGCGGCACAAGAGGACAAAGGTACCTTCTCCTTTTAATTTCTTTTGGGTTAAAACGACGTCGTTTCATTGGTCTTTGCGCTTTTGCTCATGAGGTTCACCCGCCTGACATTTTGATCCCTCAATTTAGTCTTCATAACAATTAGGTCCCTGCAAAACAAAACCCATATTTTAAATATTTTTCAATAACGTACAAATTGTCCATAAACTTGAATTAATCTTGGATTTTTCTTTGACCAATTTCGGCATTAATTTCAAAATCAGAGTAAAACTCAAATATTTTGTGAATTTTCATTTACAAATATGAATTATTAAAAAAATTAAGATTTTTTTTCTTTTCTTGTTTTTTGTGTTTTAAAAATAAGTAGAGCAGATATTAAATTATGACAGCATACACAGTTCAATTGGGAACAACATTACAAAATCAGCAGAGGCATAGCTCACGGTCTCCTTGACCAGCATGAAGGTTCTCATGTTCAAATAATTCATCATGATTTCAAAGCAAATAACCATTATTAGATGAAAATATGAACTTTAAAATTGTAGAGATTTTGGTATGGTAAGGTTATTTGGGAGAGATGAAACACAAGGCAATACCAATAGAATTGTGGGAACTTGGTAAGTATAAAAACTAATGAAACTTTGAATTGTTTCTTATACAAATAAATATCCAAGTAGCTTTGTTCCACATTGAAAGCATAAAATTATCAAGAATGGTTTTCTTATGTACTGCATTAAGAAAATTTTAGAACTTGAGTTTGTCATTATATATATATATATTGAAAATGATTTGGTTGTTGTTGATATACATGCAATGGATGTATAGCTCCATAGTATGCATTACATAGGCAGTTCTCAATGATTTTAGATGTCTTTAATTTTGGTGTGCTACATTTAAAAATTGTCAATGATTAGAAAAATAGTTGTTTTCAAAATGAGGAGAACATAGAAGACCTACTGAGTTTTATATGTAAGTATGTCAATCTATACTAAGTTATATATGTCAATGTTCATTCGTAGCTTTTTGTAGACCTAGAAAAACTAGAGGGAAGAGACAGGATTAAATTTCATAGATCCAATTTTGAGGAATAGTTCAATCACTGAACTGATGAGATATATCCATATTGGTTTGCCATGCATGTGCTCGACAATATATTACGAACATACCAAACATGGCTTCAAATGTTCTCATGCATTGTAGCAATTCAACCAATCTCCAGGTGCCCTCACAACCTGTATTTTTCAAGCACAGCACCATAGAATCAGACATGTCATCCTTATGTGGCTACAATTCATTGCTATTAGACTTGAAGAAATCAAAGGATGAATTAGTCCCCTTGGCTAAAAAACAATGTTTCAACCACAGAGCTATATCCTCTATAGTTTTTGAGATTCAAAGGTACAATTAAATTTCATATTATCAACCAAGTTTTGAGTAATGTTAGGATTTGCTTATTAAATGTACTGATATCTGATGTCGATTCTTTCTTGCATAATTTGATACTTGCTTCTTTTTTTAAGCAAAACAACTTCCATTTACTAATAAGTTTATCTATCATAAACCTTTAAAAAAGTAATTAATTAGTAATAATTATTGATTAGTCTATCTATAATTTATTTCTATAGAACAAAATAAAAAATAAATATTAATTAATAAT